GAAGCAAGAGTCATGTGCTCATGATAATCATATTTCGTATCTTCGGGGTTGATCTCCTCATCTTCCTCTTCAACCTCTTCTTCAACACTAGCCTTGGCCTTCAAGGAAAGGTTGGGCTTCTTTGCTCTTTGAGAATGCAACACCGCATTGTTGGTGGTCTTGTCCAAGATCCTCATTGCCACAAACTCATCCAACACTTCACTTGAGGACAAGGTGTGGAAGTCCGGCCTTTGACGGATTACGGGGGACATGGCCTTGTGGTAAGGCATCATGGCCTTGAGGAATTTGCGCTTGATCCAATTATCATCTGTATCCTTGCTCCCATGATCTCGGAGTGAGACCGCGAGAGTAGTTAATCTCCGGTAAAGCTCACAAGGTTCTTCATATTCATTCATTGCAAACTCATCGGCTTCATCTTGCACCACTTCATAGTTGGAGCGTTGGATGCTTGCGCTTCCCTTGTAAAGGGAAACAACATGGTGCCATGCTTCCTTGGCCACGGTGAAGGGTCGGAGATGCGCAATATCTTCGGGTGGAATTGCATCTTGGATGATGAAGAGAGCATTCTCATTGAATTGATTATCCACGGCTTCTCTAGGGGTGAAGTTGCTTCGATCATGCGGATAGAAACCTTCCTCAATGATTCTCCAAAGATTAGTATTAACATGGTTTAAATGACATTTAAAGCGATAAACCCAAGAGTCAAAATCCTCATTTTTCACAATCTTGGGAGGAGAACCCGCATGATTTAAATGAGTGGAGGGAACCGGTCCTCCATAAGTGAGAGGTGGTTCAACATGAGCATAGATGCCATTTCCACCTTTACCACTAGGAAAAGGAACTTTATCACTAGAAGCTTCCCCTTATCGGAGTTGGCATCCGCCACCTTGTTAGTGGGAGAGGCCACTTCCAAGGGTGCGATGGATAATTTAAGACCATCAAGGAACTCTTTGAATATGCCTTTGACCCCGGTCGTCATGGAGGTTTTCAATGTGTCCAAAGCCACATTGAATTCCTCACGTGAGACCGGGGATCCCCCATCGGCCGTAGACGAAGAAGGATTCACACCAGGGTGCTCCTCCTCACCGTCTATGGTGTCAATCATACTCTTAGGATGGTAAAGTCCTTAATAAAGAGACGAGGCTCTGATACCAATTGAAAGGATCGATATAGTTGACTAGAGGGGGTGTGAATAGGCAACTAACAATTTTTAGCTTTTCTTTACCAAATTAAACTTTGCATCAAAGTAGGTTGTCTATATATGCAACTAGGTGAGCAACCTATATGATGCAACAACAATAAGCACACAAGCAAGCAAAGGATATAACACAATATAGCTTGCACAAGTAAAGGTGGGAGATAAACAAAAGCGGAAGCGATGGAGACGAGGATGTGTTACCGAAGTTCCTTCCCTTTGAGGGGAAGTACGTCTCCGTTGGAGCAGTGTGGAGGCACAATGCTCCCCAAGAAGCCACTAGGGCCACCGCATTCTCCTCACGCCCTCACACAATGCGAGATGCCGTGATTCCACTATTGATGCCCTTGGAGGCGGCGATCGAACCTTTACAAACAAGGTTGAGGTAATCTCCACAACTTAATTGGAGGCTCCCAATGACACCACGAAGCTTCACCACAATGGACTATGGCTCCACGGTGACCTCAACCGTCTAGGGTGTTCAAACACCCAAGAGTAACAAGATCTGCAAGGGATTAGTGGGGGGAATCAAATTTCTCTTGGCCGAAGTGTATATCGGGGCCTTCTCAACTAATCCCTAGAGAATCAACAAGTTTGATTGGCTAGGGAGAGAGATCGGGAAAAAATGGAGCTTAGAGCATCAATGGAGCTTAGAGGTGGAAGAGGTAGTCAACTTGGGGAAGAGACACACCTTTTATAGTCAAGGGATAAATCCAACCATTATCCACCAACTCAGCCTGCGACACGCGGTACTACTGCATCATACAAGTGGTACTACCGCACGGGCCCGCGGTGTACTACCACATCATACAAGTGGTACTACCGCACGGGCCCGCGGTACTACCGCTGGCACGGCAGGGGCCAAGACTAGTCCTGATGTGCTAAGACAGGGGGTGGTAGAACCGTTGGCACGGTACTACCGAGCCCCCTTGCGGTACTATCGCAAGCCAGGAATAGTCTAGGTTGAGAAGGCACGGATATAATAAATTACATCAGTGACTACTTCCGCTGAGTTTTGATCTATCCAAAAAATCACCGCAAGCCCGGAGCGGTACTACCGTGTAGGGCGCGGATGTAAAAAATTACATCCCTCCTACTTCCGCCCTCATGCTGTTGTGCCTGGCCAGAGCTCACGGTACTACCACACCCATGGCGTGGTACTACCGCGTAGGGCACGGATGTAAAAAATTACATCCGCCCCTACTACCGCTCGAGCAGCTGCGCCTGGCCTGAGGCCACGGTACTACCGCTCCCAAGGAGTGGTACTATCGTGAGCACCTACGGTACTACCGTGTTGGATCCTGGTACTACCGCAAGGGCCTGCGGTAGTACCGCTCTGGAGAGCAGTACTACCGCCTGCCTCAAATCAACAACATTAGGAGTCCTTCATTTTGCAGAGACACGGAGAGACGGAGGATGCTCCAAAGAGCCAAAGGAAAGGTGGTGCAAAAAGGAACAGACGTGTACGTGAGATTCCACCCAAACCTTTCCAATGCGGACCCCCTCTTAATAGTACGGCTTTCCTACGACTCAAATCCACCAAAAAGAAACGTAGAGAAGTGTCGTCTTCAATAGTCTTCGAGGGGCACCAAATCGTCTTGTGTTTAGACATGATATATCTTAAATGCTCAATGGACACGATTAGTCCGTAAAAGCATTGTCATCAATCACCAAAACTACTAAGGGGTAAATATGCCCTTACAGCTTCCTATGGGCAGTTATTCTTGTGGCTTTTTTGGACTATTATGGTTAACTGGCCCAGTCAACCCATCTAGCATAGCCACCGGCCCAAGCCAAGGAGGCAAATAATACCTGTCTATAAAAGGTAGCAAATAGAGCAATTGTGGGTGATTGGTGTGCTCTCTAGCCCTAATCGAGTCGCGGCGGCGGCGGCGAAGTTCCTACCGCTGAATAGATTAGATATCTAGCCACCCCCAGATTTGCCAACATTCCCGTTCTCATGCTCTTTTATATCTGAGAAAAAAAAACGAGGTTTTGAAAGAGAACGGCGTGAGTTTGAGAGTTTTAGGAATGGAAGACGACTCAATCTCAGATGGCGAGGAAGTGACGCTACTGGAGGATGTTAAGGAGAAGGTGGAAGATGGCATGGAGGAGCCACCAGATTGGCTTCCAAATGGCTGGATCAAGGAGATCGGGCGTGGTGATAATGGTGCCCTCATCCAGGTATGATGTGTACTACCAAACATATGCATTGATGCATGTTGTTAGATAGATCCAACATGTTCATTCTTTATACAAGGTTGTATGATTTTTATAGATTACATTGGTTTGTCTATAGAGACATGTGATTATTTTTCCCGTTACTTTTGTTTTGCTTTTAGTATTTCATATCTCCAGTCACGGGGTCAAGTTCAGGATGAAGGCAGAGGTCATGGACTGAAATGGAGGAACACTACATCAAATCTAATGACTGTGTTGCTTGTAGCACGCCTCATGTATGTGATACGTCTCTAAGGTATCTATAATTTTTTATTATTCCATACTATTATAGTATTAATTTTGGATGTTTTATATGCAATTATATATCATTTTTTGGACTAACCTATTAACCTAGTGATACGTCCCAAACGTATTTACTTTTCCAAACACTTTTGATCTTGTTTTAGACTCTGATTTGTATAATTTGAATGAAACTAACCCGGATTGACGTTGTGTTCAGAAGAATTGCACTGCTTTTGTTTTTGTGTAGAAATAAAAATTCTCATATTGAGCTGAAATTTTATGAAAAATATTTTCAGAATATATAAAAAATACTGACGAAATGAACTACCTTATCTCCATATCTTTTGTTATTAGTTGAAACCTACATAACATCCATCAACAGATACACTTACAGTAGATTTTTGGTTGCCATTAAAGCTACACTTTACATTTAACTGGCATATGTCCTCTTGTTAATGATCTGAGTATCCGTTCTCACTGCTCCGTGACAACTTCAACTTCGTATTCATTAGATCGTAGGTGGATATTTGATCTTATTTGGTTGTCTACTCCTTCATCCTTTAAAAAGTGTACTTTCAACTTTATTGAAGGATCAAACTATCTCAAAGTTTGGCCAAGTTTGTGGAAAAATATATTAATGGTTGTGAAATAAATAGGTATATGATGAAAATATATTTTATGATGAATATAAGCCTACTAATTTAATGGCGTAAATGTTGGTGTATTATTATATAAGTACGATCAAAGACGGAGGGAGTATGCTTGAAGAAAAATAGAAACAACAAAAATGATATTATTTTACCGTTTCGGTCTTTTATATACGTCAATTAATAATATTTTCGAAGATGTTAACTGAATTGAGATCAAGAATATTTTGGCAGTAGTAGAAACTACTATTCCTGCCTATTCAAATTAATTGACGCAGCCCCACCTCCTCCTAACGGGCATTGTATCTCTTTTTTTTAACACAGTGCAATCAAAGTCACTTATATACATGAGCATACAATTTTTTATGAAAGCACGCACATATGCCCTATCCTTATGAGTATCTCCGATAGACTAAACCACTGATTGAATATCGCCGCAAGCCTGAAATAAATTCAAAAATAATACGAGTACCAGTATCAATTCTAAGACTTAAATCCTGATCATGATATCACTGTTCTCCTGGCCATCCATGAGCTGGTTCGCACGGGCACGAGAGTAAAAACGACGGGAGGCTTATCGTGTCAACGAGCACTCGCTAGCTTCCATCCACTCTCCAGCCGAAGACGTCTGTCTCTGCTTCGTTCGCGTCTTTCCTCTCGTCGGGCTGCCTCGCCTCCATTCATCAATTTCCAAAATGGCATCCACTTCTTCCTTCCTCCGTTCGCCGGCCTCCTTCCAGCCGGCCACCGGAGCCTGCGGCCACGTCTGCTGGGCCCAGCCGTTGGCACCCCCCAAACCGCACCGCTCGCCACTCCCGCCGACGGCCACGCCCGGGGTGCCGCGCAGGCTCCTCCTGCCGGCCGCCGCTGGCATCTGGGACTTCCTCTCCGGCGGTGCGGCCGGTGCGGCCGGTGCAGCGGCCGCGCCCCTTGCCGTCCGGCGCGGTATGGAGCTCTTCAAGCAGGTTAGACTGTCAGAGTCTGAGAGGATAAAGATAAACCTCCTCTTACGCCATTTCCCCGCTCTGCTTCCGTAACTACAATTACAGAGGAGCTCCTCCCTCGCCTCGCCTGATATTTCTTCCCCCGTTGCATTTCAGGGAGATGTGGCTGGGTCAGTGGCGGAGTTCGATCGCGCGATCGAGTTGGATCCGCGGCAGAAAGCGTGTACGTTTGTGCTCCTCCTAATCCACCATTGTTGTCAGTCGGTCAAAGAAACAAGATCACTAGCTTGTGTGAGTGTTTTCAGATCTCTGGCAAAGGGGACTGTCACTGTATTACCTCGACAGGTGCATAATCCAATGAGTAATCAGGCACCTGACATCTGCAACTGCAACTATCCTACCCACCGTTGGGTTTCAGTTTTCTTTCATTTTCGGACATTGGCATATACAGGTTCGAGGACGCCGCGGAGCAGTTCAGGCTGGACGTTGCTGCCAACCCCAATGACACCGAGGAGTCCATATGGTGTTTCCTGTGTGAAGCTCAGCTGTATGGGGTGGAGGAAGCAAGGAATCGCTTCTTGGAGGCAATTCTCTTCTCTTTATACTGTACAATAATTCAGTTATACCACGTATACAGCTAATGTCTTGAGGCAAGATGCAGAGTTTTGTTGTTAGTGCACAATTCAAGAACTTTGACGTCAGCCTAAAATGGGCTGACAACCAACCTGCAAATATAAGGTGCTGCATATGTTAATTGACTAACTGAAGATTGAGATGGGACAGTGCAAAGTTTATGAACAAACAAAGTAGCAAACAAGCACTGTTCCCTCTGCCAGAAATACTGAATGCCACATATGTGTGTGATTTCTGATTTGTTTTTGTTTTTTTTTTTTTTTGCGGGAAGTGTGATTTCTGATTTGTTGAATGAACCAAATTTGGTACGGACACAGGACATAATGTGTCCGACATGTAGAACTTTTTGGTACTCTGTGCAACAACTCCAAGCGGAAAGGGGCTGCAGGCACCGCCATGTGCAGAGTGTTCGATGGACGATCAAATGGTAACTCCTTGTGAATTCGCTTTTCAGGTCGGTTTAGATCGAAGACCCGTGATGCGCGAAGCTTACGCCTTGTTCAAAGATGGTGGGGACCCTGAAAAGGTGAGCTTATTTGAGCTACAATGCATACTATCTGATCTGATCTGTGTCCTTGTAAATTTCGGTAGAAAGTTAACTTTTTGTGGTTTTCATGTCTCCAGTTAGCTTCAAATTTTTCTAGTAGCTCTGGTGGTGAACTCTTCTATGCATCATTATACGCTGGGCTTTACTATGAATCTCAGGTACAAATTGATTGAACAATCTCTGTGTTGGCATTTGTGCTCTTGTTTAGGCCATTTATGGATTTTGTAATAGTTGTAGCTGAGCTAATCTGCGACAAGCTGCTATTTCAAAACCGTGTGCTGTTTCTTTGTAGAATGACATCTATACATCTTTATTTTGTACAATCACCTTCCTCATTGCACCCACTTAAGTCCATAGATTGCAGGAATAAACTCTGATCAACACATCACCGCAGAAAGCAAAAAATCCACATCAACACGTAACTCATCAGATTATTTTCTTGCAGCTTGTAATTTTGTGTTAGAACTGGAACAGTTTACACATCTTGTAACCAGGCTAATATATTATTTTATGAAATTTCATGATCTCTTATCCATTGTATGGACTTACCACACTATAAACTCCCTGCGTTCTAATAGTCAAATGATTTATTATTTTCATTGCTTACGGAACAGAAGGACGCAGATCTGGCGAAATCTCATATTGTTGCTGCATGCAAGACACCTTATGGATCAAGGTCTTGCTTTCATTCCCCTTACACCTGGTTCAGACTGCAGATACACTAAGTGACAGCTGAGGCACATTTCACTAACATTGTACTTCTTGGAATAGGTCTGGTGATTACATGGCTTCCCTTGCAGTGGTTCATTGTCAGTGCCGCAACTGGACCCTCGAGGAATAGGAATCTTGAAATAGGAATGATACTAATCATTGTCATGGATTGCATTGGAGCCAACAAATAGGCAGCACCTTACAGAGAAGGCAGCCGGCGCTAAGGCTATAGATATCAAAACAGAACAAAAAAAAGTAGCAACTGGAGCCTAAATTATTGGTCAATTTTGTTTATGGTTATCTATATGGTATGAGAATTACTAAAACATTTTAAATTCGGTTCATTTGTTAAATTCTGAGGAAATCAATGGTTAACCGAACTAGCTGAACATAAGATGATTTTTCTCAAGAGTTGTGCACCAACAGAGCAAGTATGGGCATGCCGTGTAGTACTTTGCATTGCGTGTGCATTGTGTATGTGCCATGAACACATGTTGAGATATTTTTCGTAATGTACCTAACAACAGTGCGGAAGTCGCACGTAATTTGTATGACTGGACGTCACCTCAGGTTGTTTCGAAGTCTTCTATTCATGGCGGTCGCCTGGTTCTCTTCCAAGGAAAGTAGGTGTCGAAGTGTTTTTCACAATGTACTCCCTCCGTCCCATAATATAACAGTGTGACAGTGTGAAAACTACACGTAATTTCTATGACAGTGTGACATCACCTCAGGTTGCCATATGGACATGGGGCCTAGATTTTATCCAGGTTCAGGCCCCTGCAATGCGAATAACAATCCTGGTATCAAGTGAAGTGGAAAGGAGCTGTTGTTTTGAGTGGTGGCCTCTTGAACGGAATCCACATCTGGAGGTGCACAGGGAACTTTCAGATTGCAATATCGGGAAATGCTATAGAGTTGGTTGATTTGAATGAAATGAATAACAGATTTAGGTATGCATTATGTCAACGCGGGTGACATACCCTTAAGCTAATAGTTTGAAAAACAATCTTATATTGTGAAACAGAGGAAGTACATGCTAATGGCAGTTGCTTCACGTGTACGATCGTTTTGTACTACCTCCCTTTCCAAAACCAACCTTCGAACAACATAGTTTGCACAAGGCCCCGCCCGCATGAACAGTAAATTCAAAAAGAATAGCAAGGCAAATCAAAAATCCGGAGAAAAATGGCATAAATATTTTTTTAACGGGTATGCTTAGTGTTCCAGGTGTGTGTGCACAGTTTCACGAAGAAATTTTCGGATTTCGGGTTCTGGCAGACCCTTGAGGTTCGAACTCTGGGTGCGCGCGGAGATCATCCCCCCCTACCGGCTCACGTCTCGTCGCCTCGCAAAGGATCTAGGCTACACGAAGAGCAACACAAGGGACGCAAGATTTATACTGATTCAGGTCACCATTATGGTGTAATACCCTACTCCAGTGTGTGGTGTGTGGATTGCCTCAGGGGCTGATAATGAACAACACAAAGGAAGAACTGCCTCGCGAGGGGAGGAGTTCTTGTGTCAGAGTTCTGGCTAAGGTTCGATTGGTCGATCCCCCTTTTCCCTGCCTTGAGAGCGGCAAGTCCTATTTATAGAGCAAGGCCCTGGTCCTCTTCCCAAATATTGAGCAGGAAGGGCGCCAATAATTTGGCCATTTTGAAGGGGAACATCTATACACTTATCCTGACCAAAGTTGGTCCTCGCCTGCCAAAGGCTCTGACGATGACACCTTCCTGGGCTCCACGATGACCTCCATCCTGCCGTTCTGCTGGTCTTGGTCTTGTTGCACCGAAACGGTAACCTTTGCCTGATGCCTTGGCCTGTGCTTGCCCCCTTTGCACCGAAGGGGAAACAAGGACACTGCCCAGGCCGGCGCCCGCCTGGCTTCGGTCGCCATGGCTTGCGTCACAGGCACCTCGTGAGGTACCTCGCCTTGATCTCTCCGCCTCCTCGCGAGCCAGCCTGACGAGGCTGCGCCTAAGGAAGCTTCCTGTCGTCCGCCCCACGAGGCTTGGCCCCTCGCGAGGGTCTTGAGCTTGTGTTGACGAAGATGGGCCGTACTGGGCCACTCCTTGAGCCACGCTGCAGGCCGCAGGCAGGCAAGTCTGGGTACCCCCGTTCCCAGAACGCCGACAGTAGCCCCCGGGCCCAAGGCGCGCCCGAACTTGGCTTAGCGGAGAAGCGAAGGGGCAAGTGCAAAGCGCCGCGGGCCCCAACAGCCTGCGGCCTTGGGCGCCGCGTGGCGGTTTATTGGACGTGGGCGTCTCCGCTTCCCCACGATGCCTCAGTACACGCCCGGCTAGGCGGACCCGTGGTTGCACACAGCCATTCCCCTTTCGCCGCATGCGTGCTTCCTGCCCTTCCTTCTTCTTTAGGCTCCAACCTCCGCCTCCAATCCAACTCGAACTCTCCCCCCCCCCTTCCCATTGTCATGGCGCCAATGTAGGAGGAAAGGGGGAAGAAGCCCGCGCCCTCATCCCGCTTGGTCCCGGCGGTGGCCCCCGCCGTTGAGCGGTCCATCATACTCAATCCCGAAGCCTTGAACAAGGTCAGCTCTGCCCTTGCCACTATCTTCAACGAATGCGGCAGGACCACGGTCTGGCCTGCGTCCCATGCCTCCTTTGATAGGGTCATCACGGAGGTCCGGTTCTTCGCCGATGCCCTGTTGGCGGGTCTGGTTCCCCCCCTTTTTCGCTTTCTTCAATGTGGTGCTCTCCCATTATCAGATCCACATGATGCACCTCGGGCCTGAGTCCATCACCCTCTTGGCTGTCTTCGCTTTTGTTTACGAGGCAATAGTGGGCATTCCTCCTTCCGTTGCCTGCTGCGCCATTTCTTCTCTTTGCGCCTGAGCGACCCCACTCAATGCTCGGGGTGTGTGAGCTTCCTTGTTGTGCCGGAGACGGCTGCTTCAGGGATCGATTTTGGCCTTCCTCCTCCTGCGGCCAGGTTCAGAGAGCAGTGGTTGTACGTGGATGTCGGAGTACCCAGCCCCCTGCTCTCGCACCCAACCTTGCCTGTTGTTACCAACTCGGGCTGGGATCATGAGACGCTCGTGAGCCCCCGGCTTGCCTTCGTCTGGCGCGCTTCTAGAGTCTGAGGGCGCTCGATGTGACGGTGCGCCAAGGTGGTGAAGGAGTTCCTCCAGCGTCGCATTGCCCCTCTCCAGCGACACTCTCGCCGGATGTGGGACTTTGCAGGGCACGAGGATCGTATGCGGCTTCAGGAGGAGGACCTGGCGCCTGAAGCGCTGAGGATAGTGCTCAGGGTCCTGAGTGGTGATCCTTCCCCAGGCAGCCTTCGACACGGCGGTGCCCTCTTGTATCTCTGCTCGGGCAGGGCCGATTTTGTGAGGCAGATGCCCAGCTTTGACGAGTGGGGGCTGCGCCCAGCTGGCCTCAGGGGGCCCCGCGAGAATCCCATCGTCGTGATTGCCCTTCTGGTCGCCCTAAGCGGCTCCGTCTCGGGTGATGGAGCAGGGAGACGAGAACCGTCGGGGACCGAAGGGGGTAATGCCGAGAGGCTGACGCTGTGCGGAGCCCCACGGGTGGCATCTCCCGAAGCCTGTTCTGGAGCAGCGTCGAGCGAGGAGTCGCGGCCTTCGGCTCCTGAGGCTGGGGCTTCTGAGGCCTCGGCCGTTGCTCACGAGGCGGCGCCTGGTGGCGCTCTCCAGGGCGATTCCCCTTGCGCTGGTCACCCTGACGCCTTCTTCATGCCGCAGGCGGACCCTTGCGTCGAGCGCCTAGGCCGCTTCCGCGTAGACTTCGAGGCTCTTTGAAAGATGAAGGAAGCCTTGGGTGGTGATGATTACCCCTGCCGCCTATTGAAGCGCAGGAAGTACTTTGCCATCGACGAGTAAGTCTTCCCCTTTCTTGGTCCCTTACTTTCCTGTTGCTTCGGCTGACCATTGCCTTTCAGGGCCCTTCCTGCCGAGTTAATGGAGGCGGCTGAGGAGCTATCCCCTGAAGCTTCGCCCTCTCCACCAATTTTGAGTGCCTCGAGCTCGAGTACCGCTCTTGCCGTGGGGATGGTCGGAGAAGTGAGCCATCCAGCAGAGCATCTTGATCCTGCACGCCTCATGCCCCTCCTTCGCGAGCTCCCCTGGGGCGCTGCCAACCTGCCCCGAGCTCCTCCCTTGGTCGTGGATGGTGACTGGCTGAGGTCGGCCTTGAGTTCCTCTTCTGGGGATGGAGTGGCGCCAGGTTGGATTCCTGGCGGGGTCCGTCCGGCCATTGCTGGGGTGCCAGCCACCCGCCCCTCATGGGAAGGGGGCATGCCGCCTCAGGGCCCTCCGCGTTCGCTAGCAGCGGAGGATGACACCGGAGACATGCTCGGGCGCGCTCGGGAGCGCCGCGCCCTTCGCCAAGTGTTTCTTCAGAGGGCGGCTGATGCAGTGAGCCAGCTCGGCGCGGAGCTTGCTGGTGAGGACGCGCGCCTTGAGGCCGAAGGCCTGCGCCTTGCTGAGGAGAGGCGCAAGCTGAAGGTAGTCGTCGCCCTTGCGCGTCATCAGCGTGATCTTGACAACACGAAGGCCGAAGCGTTGTTGGCGGCTTCGCGGGAGGCCTGCTCCCAAGCCGTCGAGGAGGCTCGGGAGGCAGACCGACGGCGCAAGGCTGCGAGGAGCGCGCGTGGGAGCTCCAGGCCTAGAGCAACTCCCTAGAACAGCAAGTGGAGCTGCGTCAGGCGGCCCTTCTGTCGCTGAAGGGGGCTTACGTCGACCAGGCGGAGCTCCAGAGGCGTGAGGAGGCGCTGGCGCTGGAGGCCGCTGAGCGCACCCTTGACCTCGAGCGGTTGGAGACGAGGGAGCGCCTGGTGACTCAGGCGGAGGATGATGTCGCCGCGCGGGAAGCCCGAGTCCAAGAGGAGGTTGACCGTCGCGTGGCGGAGGCTCGCTCGAATCTTGAACGCGAGTACGGAGGAAAGCTGGAGCTGATCGGGGTCGAAGCGGAGGGCAGGACTGCCGCCCTTAAGGCCAAGCTGGATGAAGTGACGCGGCGTGCGGACGCCTCCGGGGCTTCCCTTGGCGCAGTGCAGACGGAGTTGGCTTCTTCCCGCGCCGAGGTGCTCCTTCTTCATCAGAGGGTTGACGAGGCTGAGGCCGTTGCGGGGCGGAACGAGGACGAGATACGC